CACCCCCAGGACCCCCAACACCAGGAGAGGAGGGTGCCCTGGGGGGGGCTGCACTGCTAGAACACCCCCAGGACCCCCAACACCAGGAGAGGAGGCTGCACCAGCTGGGGGGAGCCCCCCAGCAGCAGCAGACAAGGGGGACCTGGGAGTGGCAGCACCAGGGGAGCACCCCTAGGACAAGGAGACAAGGGTGCATCAGGTCGGGGCGCACCAAGGGAGCACCCCCAGCACCTGGAGCGTGCAACCAGGCCGGRCCACATGCGGGGAGCACCCAGCACCCCCAGGATGGGGAGACAGGGTTGCACTGGGGGCACCAGCCCCAGAAGATGAGYGTGCACTGGAGGGTCCTGCATTTCTGCAGCACCCCCAGGACCAGGAGCCAGGGGCACCTGGGGCAGGGTGGTCCCTCCCGCCCAGACGGGGCGCACAGGGGCCGGCGGGGGTGCCCGAGCTGGGGCCATGGGGCCACGGGGACACCCGCCCCACTCACCGCGTGAAGCGCACGCCGCAGACCTGGCAGGCGAAGGGCTTCTCGCCGGTGTGCGTGCGCATGTGCCGCGGCAGCTTCCCGGCGCCGTGGATCACCTTGTGGCACACGGGGCACTCCTGGGGCATCTGCGAGCGCCGCTTGCGCACCAGCTTGTCGGGGCTCTCCAGTCCCGGCGCCAGCGCCTCGGGGGGCAGCGAGCCCAGGTAGGCCATGAAGTGGGGGTCGATGGGGTCCTCGTCGGAGGCGGCCTCCTCGGGCGACAGCGGCGGCTGGTAGGGGAAGGCGAAGGCGTGCGGGGGCAGCTCCTCCTCTTCCTCGGGCACCTCGTAGCCCTCGCAGGGSGGCGGCAGCCCCTCGGGCAGCGGCGGCGACGGCGGCGGGGGGCTGCCCCCCGCCTCGGCGGCGCCCTCGGGGGGCAGCTCCTCGGCGCAGTGGTTGAGGCGGGCGCCGCGCGCTTGCAGGAACTTGCGGGTCTTCTTGCTGCGGCGCGCGACGGGGCGATGCGGCGGCGGCGGCAGCAGCGGGGTGCCGGCGCCGTCCCCCTCGGGCAGGGCGGCGAAGGCCTCGAGGTAGCGGCGTGCGCGCTCGCGGTCGCCGGCGTCGGGGCCGGGCGCCTCGCGCCCGCTGCCCTGCAGGATGTCCACGCAGGCCGCGATGACGCAGGGGATCTCGAGCAGCCGCGCCGCCTGCAGCACCTCGCCCATGTTGGCGCTGCTGATGGTGAGCGTGGCCGTGTAGGCGAAGTCCAGCAGCGCGCCCAGCGCCTCCGGGCCCACGAAGTCCAGCTCGCAGACGTCCTGCCCGGGRCCCGGCCCCGCAAAGAGCTTCTGGAAGTAGCGGCTGCAGGCGGCCAGCACGGCGCGGTGCGTGCGGTACTCGAGGCCCTGCGAGCGGATGGTGACGTCGCAGAGCAGCCCCAGGTGCCGCTGCTCGTTGAGGCTGCTCAGCAGCTCGCTGCTGTGCTCCGGGAAGGGGATGCCGATGAGGTCGTCCTCGGGGCTCGCCATGGTGCTCACCTGCGGGACGCGCGTGGTCAGGGGGGCACAGGCAGCGCCCCGCGCGCTTGGGCCCCGCGGATGCGGGGGGGACACCCTGTGCACTTGGGCCTTGCGTGTGCACAGAGCACCCCGTGATGGCAATGGACATGCACGGAGAGCACCCCATGAACTTGGGCTGCACGGGTGCATGGTGAACACCCTGCAAGTCTGGGTCCCGCACAGAGATCACCCTGAAAGTTTGGTCTACGTGGGTGCATGGCCAACACCCTGCAAGCCCGGGTGCTGCACAGGGAGCACCCCGCGCCGTCGGGCTCACACACAGCGAGCGCCCCGCGAGCTCGGTGCGCGCGCGGCCCCGGGGCCCTGTGCGACCCCGCTGCCTCCCCCAGCTCCCGCGCCGAGATTTGCGGCAGCCCCGGCGCGGCGGGCGC